ACCTCACAGTGAAGGCTTGGAGGGCCGGGCGTCCAGGCAGGAATTGAAGGTATCTAGCTGCGCTGAGCGCCGAGCCCGGACCAGCCGGGAAGAGGCACGGCGCCGGCCGGGGAGGGCGGGAGGTAAAATGAGAAGGGGCGGGGCTAGGCGATTAGGCCCCGCCCCTGAGGCCCCTTCCCCGTCCGCCCCGCCAGCCACAGCCGCAGCCTGCGCGCTAATTATAGAGGTGAATGGAAAGTGGCCGCTTCTGAATGATCCTGTTGCTCGCTCTGCCGTTGGAGGCTGAGGAGCAGGTGCTGCCCTCTTAGATACAAAGCGATTCATTTCAAACGCCTCTGTCACGCACGCACATTCACCGACCTACGCGCATTCTCTTGCTCTCTCCTACCACCGCCAGGCGGTGGATACCAAAACTGGCTTAAGAGGCTTTGGGCCCGAGGGCAGAGACAGGAATTTTTCCCGTCCTCTTTCACCCCATCCTTGGAAGTTTCCCCTTGGATGAGAAGAACCCCAGGCCTTTTCAAGCTGTTGCCAAGTGTTATCTCGTTTTACAGATGGAGAAACTGAGGCTGGGAGAGGAGCTGGGATGTGCCTCCGTGGGTCTGTGGAGAGGTGGGCCAGAACCCGGGTCCCCTGACAGCTCATTATTCCGGTTGCCTTACCATGTTGGAACCAGGCGTGGCTTCTTCGCATCTGAGCGTTCTCCTCCTTTCCCGCTTCAGTACCTCCCCCACCACGTACCTACCCAACACCCACACAGCAAACTTGCTAATGCCAGCTGATTGCCATTGGTGGGGTTAATGGTTCCAGGCCTGGAAACTGCCCATTTTCCTGTCAGTTATGTCTGAGTCAATCTGATACGCTCTCTGTCAGCATAACCCTGATAGGAGGATCTACAGAGGAGGCAAAAACTAGACTTTACTTCCCCATCAGCAGCTCAGATGTACCTAGCATTTACAGTTAGCCAAGTGCGGTTAAGAGCTAGGCTGCGAACCAAAAGGCTAGCAGCTCGAATCCACCAGGCGCTCCTTGGAAACTCTATGGGGCAGTTCTACCCTGTCCTATAGGGTTACTATGAGTTGGAATAGATTCGACAGCCACGGGTTTGGTTTGGTTTGGAAGTGCTTTCATGACTGTGATGACCTAATCCAGTCCACACAAACACAGTAAGAAGTCTTACTTACGCCCATTTTACAGGAGTCCCTGTAGAAATGAAGTCTTGGCGGGGGGAAGTAACTTGCTCATCATCATCTGCTGGTTCTCGCCCCATCCTGAACTGTGCCCAGAACTCATCCTGTGGTCTGCAAGGGGCTGCCGTGATCCACTTAGTCGTGGAGAGGAATCACTGTGAAACCTGGGTATTTCCAGCCTGCCCTCTGGCCTCCTCTCCCCATAGGTCTGAGGCCACCCCCCACTTCCACCTAGTCTACAGTATAAAACTGGCCATGAACAGTCACTGTTTTCTCTAGGGCCAGAGGTACCCAAGCCCATTCACTGCTCTGACTTTGAGTAACAAGGCCAAATCTCACTCACTGCATGGACCTATCTGCACGCCCTGACTTTTGCTGATCACTCCGGACTGAACTCTTTGTCTGTGTCTCCCTGGCTATTCGTCTTTCCTCACGATCTCCAGCAACGCAGACTGATAAAGCAGCAGCATCAAGTAACATGCTGAAAAAAGAGGGAGAGGGAATAGGTGTGAGCGATATTGTTATTTGCCTCTTGGAAGCAAAGACTGCATCTTAGTCTTTGTAAGTCCCCACTCTGCCCAACATAGACCTATTCCAGCCTCATGCCTTGAGCCTAGCAGACACATAGAAATACTAAAGCATCATAAAACTTTTTCTTGGTAGTGGGAAAATTGTAAATAACTAGGCTGGCCATTGTCACATCTCTCTGACCATACAGATGAGTAGCTCAGAACATGGGCTTTGCAAATACAAGGTCAGGCTCTGCCCTGACCAGTTGTACAAGAGTGACAAGTTACTTGATCTCTCTAGGACTCAGTTTTTTCATCTGTAAAATGAGGATAATTATACCTCACAGTGCTGAGCGAGGAAAGGAGAAGAATGCTCATGTGTGAATCGTTGTTAACCCACCCAGCGGCTCCTCGAGAGAAAGACCTGGTGATCTGCTCCCATAAAGATTACAGCCAAGAAAACCCTGTGGGGCAGCTCTACTCTGTCACATGGGGTTGCTATGAGTTGGAATCGACTTGACCGCACAGAACAACAACAGGGTGGAATCTGAATTCAGCTATAGAGCTTAGGTATGGTTTTAAACTTCCATATGGCTCAATTTTTTCATGTATAAAATTAGGCTGATAGTAGTACCTATCATATAGTTTTGTTTTGTAAATTAATGAGTTAATAAACATCGAGGGCTAAGAATAGTACCTGGCACAGAGCAAGTGCTCAGTAAGGATGGCTATTGTTTTTGGTGGAATTGGATGAGGACTGAATGGTAAAAGTTCCTAGCACAATGCCTAGTAGAGAGTCAGCACTCAGTAAATGATAGCTTTTATTATTCCTTCGTCTGTAAAATGGAGTTATAATAGTTCCTCTTACATAAGGGTGTTCTGAGAATTAGATTAT